AAAAAAAAAAAAAAAACAAGGTGGTCAGGAAAAAGGAAGAAAAGAGGGGGACAAAGAATAAGGAGGAGAACCAGAAATGTAGAATTAAGGGACCCAAAAGAAGACAGTTTCAAGGAGGTGCTGGTCAATTACAGTAGATGTTGGTGAGAAATTGAGGAGAAAGAAGAAGTAAACTTATAATGGTTAATCAAAAAATGAGATTAGACTATAGATTTAGGTTGGGGTGTGAACTTGAAGAATGAGTAGTAGAGAAAAAGAATAGACTCTGGTACACTGAACTTACTTCTTGAAGTTCTGTGGCAACAAAAGGAAGAAAAGAAACAAAATAATGACTAGAGTAGTACCAGAGATAGGTTAAAGTAAAAAAATCAAGAACCAAGACTGTAATCTGTCAAAAACCATTTTTTCAATGAGGCTAATCTCAGCTCTATATTACAAATGGATAAGGTCAACGAATTCACACTAAGATATAAATGATGGTCATTTTTCTCAGTTTCCTCAGCACTTGGCACTTTAAAAACAAAATAGACAACAACCCAAAGAACAAAAACTAGGGCTCCCATTAATCTAAGCAACGAGATGGCTGGAATTTCAAGTAGGATTTATTCAACAAATATTTACTGAGTACCTACTATATGCCAGGAAATATTATAGTCTCCAGGGTTATAGCCATGAACAAAACAGAAAATAGGTCCTTGCGCCATGGAGTTTACCTCTAATGTGGCTGTAGTGGGGCTTGATGGTGTCTGTAAAGCAGGGTAGGGGATAGTAGAACCACTGGGGGTGGTATGCTATTTTAAATAAGCCTCATTGATAAGATTAACATTTGAGCAGAGACCCAACGGAGGTTAGGGAGCAAGTCAAGGGGATAACTACGGAAAGAATTGCAGGCAGAGGGTACAGTAAAGGCAAAGGCCTGAGACAGGTAAGAGACTGATGATTGTGAAGTAGAGCAATGGGGCCATTATGGCTGCCCCAGAATGAACATAAGGGAGAGAAATAGATGAGGTCAGAGTGGCAGCAGGGTCAGATTGTGTAGAGCCTTACTGGCCATTGTAAGGGCCTTGGCTCTTATCTTAAATGACACAGAAAACCACTGGATGGTTTTGAACATGACCAG